GATAAGGAAGGGCTTCCTTGAGTGAAGTTGTTCCTGGAGTTTTGTGTACACATTTTATCATGTTACACTAGATTAGACATCCAATCAGGATATACTGGAGTTTCTGTGTGGTGTCATTGTACTTTTTTGTCCAGATTTTAACTGGAATCTGTTTAAACCTCATGATTTTTTAATTCCCTATCCTACGCTTTGAATGTTACCCTTCATTTGAACTTGCTTTGTTGGTTATATAATAGCTATATGTATCGCATGTTAATACTTGCAAATCATGCACTTAAAATATTGAGATAGTGAATCAGCCATATTTAAATATTTGATCAGTACTGGTATTGCGATCTGTAAGTTAAAAGTGGGGTAGGTAAGTTTGAGAGACCGGCTCAAGATACACTTTTTGTTATATTCCATGGAATGCTCTTAACATCCCCGATAGCACTGAATATCTTAAGTGCATTAAAAATCCATAAAAAAGCTTTTCATCTGTGGAAGCCGTAGTACTGTAAAAAGCACGGCCAATCATTTTAGCCGGCCCTGATTCAACATGTCGAATCGGTGGGCAGTCGGCCAAAGGCTGTCGGCAAAAGAAATCACTCTGATTGGCTGTTCAGTTAGCAAATCAGTGCGTGAGAAGCGAAACGGAAGTGAGGGACCCAACAAACTAGGCTTGTTTGAGACCATGGATGTATAATAAGAACTGGATACAGCGTGGGAGGCGGGGCCTCATTCATTCCTATGAGAGTTGCTCATTGGCGCATGATGATAAAATGGCCCAACTTTTGAGAGAGCGAAACGTCACAGATTACCCGGCATGCCTGAAAAGTACCCGTATGTGCGCTCTTAGCGCATGCGCAACTTTAACCAAAATGCTCGATTCACATCAAGCACGTCAATTTGCGTACACGTAACAGCACCGCACGTTCATGACAGCATGGTAATGGCTTGTTTTTATGATGGATTTGATATTAACGAGGCGGCAGTTAGCAGCTAGCGGCTAGCTAGTAATTATGCTAATGTGCACATCAATCGTTATGTACTTATATTACGCTGTAACAGGATCTAGTGATATCCAAGCAACAGAGCTTCATTTAGCATGAAAGAATTATTGCACTGTATATATATATATAGTGCAATACGCTTCTTAGTGCAATAAGAAGCTACAGGGACGTTAATCTAACGTCGGTTATATTAACTTTATTTAATACAACATTTACGGTACAAGATTTAATCATACAGCCCATGTAGTATAATATTTTACAAATGATGAATTACAGCAAACATGTGCAATATATCCATTATTACAGCTCCGTGGGATGGCAGTGAGACGATATGGGTCCGTTGTTATTGTGCATCCATGGGTAAAGATAAACGCATGTAGTGCTGAACCTGCTGAACACGTAACATGAACGTGCCGGGCGGCG